CAACATCTCCATCCGTAATGAAAAGTGTCAAATATAATTCGCCGGCGCCTGAAATTAATACCAGAAACCTATATGAAAACCCAACATCCTTGCTTACCATCTGAACAAAAGGCTCGAGACAAGATGGATCATGTTGTTATTAAGCAAGGTCTAGTGGTTTAAATTTAAGTGCTCTCTGAGATACTTACGTCGACTTAGACAATACCTTTTTGCTGTGAAGATATGTATCCATCTCTGTGCAGACAAGAATGTAATTTAACTAAATGCTGCAATCCCAAGAGACAGCCCAGTCCAGCAGTTTTCTACTTGCCTTACGCCCCCGTTCAACAGCTTAAATATAATGGAACCGTGAGATGACATTTTAAGCTTCCTCCAATTCAAGCGTGGCATTTGAAAACTGCTGATTCCTAGTTAGATGATTGATAAGCCTGAGAAATAAGTGGTCGATGGCAATTTTCCGAAATAAGCCATTGGAGTTTATATTTGGTTTTACTTTGACTTTGCCGAAAGCGAAACATTTTTCTAGCAAAAGTACGTAGCGAGCTTAAAGTAACGGCTTTAGCCTCCTTCTACAAACTTCTTGACAAGTGCTGCCGGCGGGCAGATATGATGGTTGAGTAGAAAATCAGTTGGCAATCGGTTTTGCAGGTTAATCATGTTTGTTTAGTTAAATTATTTTCAAATAAACAGAAAATTAAGGTCAACATATTCAATACCGCAATTGCCCAACCAGAACCAATAAGCCAATTCAATGTAACTGTCGTTAATATAATTAATTATGAACCTTTAGAAAAATAAACGACTAGGCAGAAACGGTACCAGTTTACTACTAGTACATTGAGTGGAAATGCACTGGTCCGAATAATACCAAAAAAAAATAAAAATAAAAATAAAAACCTTGCTTACTTGAAATGCGCAATTTTGGTTCAAAATAACACTAATGCATTTTTGGTCCATTTTGAACTAGTATGGTACTAGTTCACTTCTGTTCGTAAACTGACAAATTGTCAACTTTATGTTGGCTCGAAATTAAGTTAACACTCGCAGTAGCGTAAAAATACTATAACGCTTACTTGGCTACCACTTTCGATGTAGTTTTTAACCAGTTCATTTAACAACAGTGCATATATGTATGTATGTATGCATGTATATTTAGGCATGCATATTGTAAATAATTACTTATAGATGCATACATTTACGCACTCAGCTTGTTATAATTAGCTTACTATCGCTCGCTTGGTCCCTCTCCCTCTCTCTCTCTTTCTCTCTCTCTCTCTCTCCGCAGTTGCTGTTTGTTTTTCGATATCAAATTCAATTTTCCAGTTGAACTGAAATGTAATTTAAGCCCAAATTAGCGCAAATGAATGGCGCACAAGATATATATGTTTATATTATATATGTATGTACATATATGTTTGTCTGTGCAATTAAAACACATATTGTGCATGTATGTATGTTGATATGTATATGTATATGCCTTATTATATTAAGTTTTATCTGTTATCTTTTATCATGAAATTAGTTGCATAATTTAATTTAATAATAAAACAACAACAATAATAACAACAACAAAAAATAAAAAATAGCGCTTATGCAGCGAGGCAACGAGACCAAACTAAGCGCATGCAACAATGCAAAGACCACAATAAATGCATGTCCATAGAGTCCCACGTGCACATGAGTATATTGAATAATGTATGTATGTATGTATAGGTGAAGCTAAATTTGTATTTGTATGTTTATGTATGAGTGTATCTCTGCAATTGTGGGTAACTCTATTATTTTGCCAGGACTTTTAGCTGCGTGATTATGGTTGTGGCTTCCACATACACACATATACACACATATACGCACATACATACACACATGCCTACTCGCATCTAGTGCGAAATTTAATACTCTTTTAAAATACACGAAAGCCGCGTAAATTACGCGTTGACATTTAATATGAAAGGAGCATAAATAATTTTTGTTTTTATTTTCATTTTAAATATCTAACGCACAACAACAACACTGACTTTTACCAGGAGGCATTCAAAGATAGCTTCTCTACTCTACTGTTTGTGGCTGCTGTTGCTGCTGCTGCGGCTGTTAGTATTGTTCGTTGTCGTTGTTGTTGTTCTTGTTGCTGTTGTTGTTGCTTTTATTTAACTACTCTCATATCGTTGGGCCGGATATGGCGCGTAAAACATGCGTCGAACGGAAACAGGATGCGGAAATAACGCCATAAATTTTGGTTGGCTGTAAATGTCGGCAATGGAACATGTATATACCAAAACAACAACAACAACTATAACAACAATACCGACAGCACAGGCAACAACAAAATTATTAACAACAACAAAAATAGCAACTAGCATAAAATCATTTGAAAGTCATGAGGCTGTTTTCCAAAATATGTAGACACTCTTAGGCTTGTAATTCCATCCTCATCGCTTTATTTATGCACTCTGTACATGCGTGTTGACCGTTATGTATTATCGGTGTGCGTGTGGCGACAGCGTTGAAAGCGCGTAAAACCAACAATACAAATAGTAAACACTAAAATAAAATGAAATGAGCTTCATAAAAATGATTAAACAGGGTGTTGCGCAAGTTTACGCATGACTAAGGTCGGCTCACACAATTTATTTCTCAAAAAAAAAAAAAAAAAAAAAAAAAAAAAAAAATATCTAGTAAAATGGATGAGCTGTCTCTTGATATGGGACTCATACCATGTAAAGGCACGGCGCTTAAAAAAAAATTGTAGGTATATAATTGGCAATTTGCAGCCGCCGAGCTCCTTCTCCAATTTGTGGTTTTGCGTCTTTATGTATTTCCAACAAATGCAGGGATCTACTTTTTAAACTAAACCGCCTTCTCACGGCTGATGGATTTTTATGAGGAGCATTTACTTCATGCTATAAATACACTGGGAGGGGTTGACATTCCCCGCCGAGGAGTGACCATAAATGGAAAAATTTATTTATTATAAACTTAAATGGTGGTCGACTCAAGACTCGCTCCTTGGTCTTCATAATAGCGGAACCCACAGTTAACCATTCGGCTATTGCGGGCATAAGAGAAGTAAATAAAATTAATGAGAAATCAATGCAAATAGAGAAAGTTATTGACCCACTTTCTCCTGGCGGTGGCCAGAAACCAATTTTTAACGTTTGATTCTTTTAGATGACAACTTTTGGTCCCAAACCCAGTATTCTCGCAGCAGCCAACAAACTTGCGGGTAAATTGAAGTAAGGAGGCGACTGCCAGGGTGTGCGCGTATGGCAAACTCTCCACATAAAAAATCTGCTTCAACGAGAAATTTATAAAATAAGCCACGGATGAGAGACCCTTTTGATTTTGTAAACTTTATAAGACCATCCAAACTAACCACGAACAATACCAGGAGCATATTGAGAATTGAAACGGATCTCTCTGAGAAGTTCACTAAAATACTTTAATTTGATGTTGAAGAATATAATAAAATGTAGAGAGGTAAACTGACTGGTACCACTTTGAAATCGTAAATAATTTCGTTTATTCAGATACCAGTGTTTGCACCAACAACAATGACAGCTTGGAAATACAGCATAAAGATTTCCCTCATCATTCCCCTATTACTTCACACTGACATAGTTCGGAGAACAAAGAGAAAGAGAAAGAGTCAGATCAGGTCGTTCAAATGGCTCCCAACCCTTCGGCTTTGTATAGTAAATGCAAATGAAAACAGAAGCAAAATAAAGACCTCCACTCGGTTGGAGGGGATCAGGTGAAAGGTGACCTATTTCTATTACAGATTTCATATTGACGATAGTCAGTAAAAAGGTGAGGCGAATGACAGGTTCTTCTTTATTCGGCTATATTCGTGTAAGTGGTGTCTATACAAATGGAGTAGAAGCGCAAGGACTCAAGTTCACTCCGTAAGGTGTAGCATGCACCAGCTTACTTTGAGTTCGTCTTGTGTCATAGCCCTTCGGCAAGGGTATATATCGAATTCTCTTCCATACTCAACCCCTACATTCTTGATGACTGTTTGTTCTGGTTTCAAGCCCACGAAAGTCGATTTCTAGGAGTTTCCTAACGAAATTTCTTCTTCTAATAAAGAAAACCTACGCGTCGTGAGCGCTTCTTTTTATTTGTTGTGTACGTCTTCTTACGCATCCACTAAAAGGGGAGGATTATATAGTTCTTATTCGGCTCGTAAAGTTTGACACAGGGCTTGAATTGTCCGCTTTTCGAAAAAAAGGTTCTATAATTTTGGACACCAAAAAGTTGAATATATTTGAACCCAGGACTCTTCACACACCGGCACTCATTGTTACCTACTCGGTTTCAGCAGGAGGCATTGAAGTGCTGGAGGCAAGGTTAGGCTGAAGCGGTTACCTCTGCGAAACCACGGGCCACTAAGGTTTAATATCGAACAGATCGACTCCTGTATAAAATTCTACCCAAGACAGGACAGTCGCATATGAGATGACAGACCTTTTCTTGCTCTCCATCGTTCTAACAACTTCTACAGCCTCTCCTGAAAGGAACGCCCAGTCTTGCCGCAGATCGTCCTATCAAACAGTGACCTTTTACGACTTCTTTAATAATTTTTGTATTAGGGTTGTACTCTCCTTTGAGAAAGTATAGTTCGTGTGACCATTTCCGGTACCATTCGGCCACTTAAAGGTGTTCGAGCTTTAACTGTGAAATCATGCGTCTCAATATTTATAACTATCTATGTTCCCATCTAGAGAGAATAACGAAAATCGTCTCATTCATCACATTTTTGGAATCAAGTTTCAATGCTAACTTTACTTCAACCTTTCGCTGTCGATTGAGCAAGTCTCTTTTTAACTTTAAGCTCGAAAAGCAAGAGAGCTTTACTCAAATGCTCCATCAGTTGGTCGAGTTGGAGCATGTTATGATAATCAATGATTGATTCCTTACGCGCTATGGAGTTTCTCAAGATCCCAGGCTATTATTTGTTTATAGATAAAATGTAAGTAATTGGAAAATAAAGACCTCAAAGATCATGAGCAGAGTTTATATCTTTATTGTTTTTTTTTCATACTGACCAACTTCGTCACAACTCATCATAAATCACCCTTTACATTCTGATATTTTACTGGTTTTTTCTCTTAAATTTCCCCACATTTTGCCAAGCCACGTATTTAGAGCCTTCACCTACACACGCTCTCAAACTCTCACGTTCACGTCCATATCATAAACATGTCTCTATTTTAATTTTAATAAGAATTATGTTGAAACTTTAATGTCCCGCTGTGTAATGAAGGAGTGAAGAAAATCATATTGGTTCTACCGCCAAACCAAGCGACGCTGACATACTAACCGTCAACATATACCGTTAGTGAGTCGTTCTCTCGGTCGCTTTATTAGAAACGTGTTTACCTGAATGCCACTTAATTCTGTTTAATATTACCGATGACGCGTAATTTTAATAAGCCGGCCATAGAGCGAGAGAGAAAGAGGGAGACGAAGAGAAGTACAAAATTGAGGAGGGGAAAAACTCAGCGCTCTCTTATGGCTATTTTTGTGACATTGGCTGGCTGGGGTTTGTACGGCGGGAGCTGCGTTTAATTAGGCAATTGGTGAGTGGCTTTGTGTGAGTTGTTGCATGTGGAGTGTCTTTCCATCCTCACCATGCTTGTATCCACTATATGTTTGAATGTGGTTGAAATTTATGCTTTAATTACCAATCGAATGAGCGGAGGTGAAAAAAATACGACGTAGAGTAGGTGGACACCAGCCATATTTTCTATGTCATAAATTTATGGGCTTAATTAGCAGTCGAGGTAAAAATTGTTACTGAATATACATAAATGCTTGGCTCCTTGCTGAAATTTGAGAGAAGAGAAACGGCTACTTCTCATCGAAGAAAGGTAGCAATCTGCATCAGCCTCTGCGAGTTAGGTTTTTAGGTATGGAAATACCTTCGCTGCTTTCCGAAAACTATTTTGTTTTCCTTGAGTGTTTAGTTCACAAAGGTTTTTTCTTGTTATTCTACACTACCGTTGATACCACTTATGCGATTACAGTCTCATAAAGAGCAGGGCTGTCCCTATTTGCTCGTTTTCTTCGCCATTTTGCGGTCATTGTAGACACCAAGTAAGCCAAGTTTTTCTCGAACTGATTTTTCCAGCAGAGAAAAAGTCATCCCCATTCTCTGTATCCACAGGTGGATACTGTATTGAATGCATTAAAGGGTGGAGAGCTCTCCTTGACCGTTTTTTCTTTCATCGCTCCATTCATGTCATCGCATCTCGCACAGCTCATCATTCCATCAGTGTTTGAGGTTCCCAAGGCGCGGAAGACCATACATTTTTCACAAAAGCTTGTTGACTGACTGAATGACTTGTTGAGTTTGGTTTTGGTTCATCAAGAGAGAGCCTTACAATTCCCTACTCAGTTCAATGTAGCATCGGTGGGTAAGTAAATGGATTTCCAGGCTGGTCATTACACCAACAAAAATGTCTCTACACCTGAAAGTATTAAATGCGATAGCTTATTCTCACAATACTTCTGATATCATCACGCCATAGGTATAAGGTGAGTTCATCTTCCGGCAAATATTCATATTTGAGAGTAGAAGAATCAGTGGTTAAGATTGAGATGATTCTGACTCATTCCACGTTTGATCTCTTACGGAACGCTATACTGAGCAGCAGAACAGAGACCATCCAACAGCAGAGCAAAGCAAAGCCTATCGAACAGCAGACGCGAGAGTGAGCCAAAAGTCAAGTGCACGGACCACTAATCAATTGCGAAGCCACCTAATGTTAGTACAACGCAGTAAGTCGATTCTCTTAAATGTGATCAGCGTGAAGGGTATGATGAGTCATTCATCATTTGATCTTTTGGTCATAGCCATGACCTTCGCGGCTCTTGACCTTGAACGTTATACATTAAAGCAGAGCAGAGAATATCCACTAGCAGACTAGTTACCAGGAGGAAGCACGGAAGGGCTCACCGGCGACGAAAAACACTAGTAAGTTGTTATCTTGCAGTAAGTCGATCCTGTGAAGTTTCATTTTCTGTTCCAATACGATAATGGTTGAGCATGAAACGGTCAGTGGATTGACCTTCTAAGCTATTCCTCAAATTTAACATTCCTTCATATTTGGTAACTTTGTGCACAAGAGCATTGTAGCAGATTCACTGTGTCCTTCAACTTGTACTTGCTCCTTCGTAGAACCCAATCAGAAGTATCTCAATAGAAATCAGAAAGATATTCATAAGAAGTGGTAGCAGGGCAGCTTGGGCCAGTATAGCACATGATGAAATCTCGAAATACCAGAATAGCTGGTTTACCTTTAGTTCGAATCATTATTAAGCTTCACATAAATTGATATTAATTGATGTTTTAATTTAATTTGAAATGCTCTTTGTTGTTGTGTGTTTTCTCCTTTTTGAATACCATCCATGTGAATGGAGCTGTGGAGTCCTAACTCGAGTGGCTCAGTAGAAGATCCTCCATCTCCTTAAAATGTTCTCGCCGCAGTAGCTCTGAAGTACTCATCAAAGCTGGATTCTCTTTTGCGTTTCAGTTTTTTGGCGGCACATTTTCTCTAAACATTCCATTCACATTGCCGGGTGGATCGTAATTAGCGACCACCCAAACTTTTTCACCACTAAAATTAAGAAAAAATATTATTGTTAAAAAACTACAAAAGATCTCTCTCTGTCTCTGTTTCTTTCTACTTCTCCCACTCTCTTATACTTACGCCATTGCATAAGCCACGCCCACTTGTTTCGTATCGCGCCATATTAGCTGTGTAAAGTGTCCGGTGTAGGGATTAAACTGCGCCTTGGCAAAATCATATTTAGCGATCTCGTCGTACCACATTTTGGCCGGCATATCCGGCATCACCTGCTGGCCGCTGCTATAGTAAATATTCTCACCGAATTTGCCATTTGGACTGTGCTCCATTTTCTGGCGCTGCGCGAGGCTCTATAAAAGAGAGAAAAGCCCAAATTATTTTCTAGCTAAATATTTTCTTAAAATATTATTCTCTCTCTACCTGTGCCCACTTGGATGCGACTTGCGTTAGGTTCGGGTTTATGGAGAGCGGCGGTGTGCCATGCATGGCGCGAAATTTATTATGCGCTTCTAGACAACCCTTTTCGAAGTCCGCCTGTGAGATTGTAATTGGCTTGGGTCGCGGCTGGTTGGGCGCACCACCGCCAGCGGGCACCTTTTTAATGACAACGGTGCGCTTCACTGTCGCCATTTTTTGCTCGGAATACGTCTTAAGCCAGTTTGAGCGCGCTCAATAGCGGAGAGCGTGTAAAAGACAATCGTTTATCTACTAAAAATTTTTTATTAAACTTTTCAATTTTGTAAATGTTTGGAAAATGAAAAAAATATATAATAAAAAACTTGACAGTAAAAATTGAGTGGAATTTTCTAAAAGAAATTCTTGTAGTACTAAAATTGTAAAATTGCTCATCGGTTGCCCAAAAGTGTAGTGGGGAATTAAATAATTTTTATTCTTGAATTTAAGTTAATTTAACTAAAAAAAGCATTCGTCTTTAAGCACATACTCGTACCAGCAAGGTGTTGGCCACTACTCGCTTTTGTGGCTTACCATTAATATGTGCGTGCACTTGTAGGTGGAATACTACGAAATATTCCGACCGAGCCGCAGAGCACACTTCAGCTCACTTCTGCCGGCCACTTAATGCCTCAGCCACTTGTCTAACTTCAATGCTTTGCCTTAGGCTGGATAGGTGTTGGCATTTAAGATTTTTATTTGGGTGCAAAGTAATGAGATTTGGTCTAAAAAAGTAAAAAAAAAAAATATCGCTTTATATAAAAAGAAATTTTATGAGTCATTTTATGTTATTCATGTAAGTTTAAGTGAAGAGAAGAGGAGGAAATGCAGAATTATTACCCAAATTTTATTTGTAATTATAAAAAAACATATTTTTTAAAACGACCAATCACTGCCTACTTCAGAAAAGATCTTTTAGCTTCGTTGCCAATTTTCACCGAGAAATAGAGTCCGAAACATTATATTTATATTTATCGGCCTGAAAAAGTAAGCCATTTTTCTCCATACAACGTTGTCTATTTTCAAAATGCTGCTTTTAATACTTTTGCTTATTTTAATTTGGTGAAACATTTATTATGATAGAACTAACCTTGACAGTGTTGTCAATTTTTTTTACTCAGAAATGCAAGTTTGTGCCGTTTCTATCTCTAACAAATGATACTCATTTTTTGTGCTACAGCGTTGCCTATTTTCAATATAAAACTGAGAATACACATACGCCAATTTTCCTATTTACTTTATGATCTTGAATAAAAAAATAATTGTAATTAGCACTCCACTGTTTCCATTTTTCATTTAAAAAAGGTTAAGACTTTTCTTTGCAAATTTTTATATGTTCCATGATAGTGATTTTTATGTGTGCTAATCTTCAGAATTTTTCTTTCCCCTTCCTTGCTGAACCTAATTTACTATTTCTGCCAATTTTATTTGCTAAAATCTCAAAATTTGCATTCACTGCCCTTGAAAAGTTACTCACGACTAATCATGCCCTGTTACAGATTTTTTAATTAGAAAAAGTAAAGTATGTTATTGTATCTGCAACGTTGCCAGTTTTCCTTAGAGGCAATACCTCTTTTTTTCTTTAAATGTTTTATTTATTAGAAACCTACAATTTACATTTAACGCTTGTGAACATTTTTATTAAAATTCCAATTTGAAAAAAATCGCTCTTATTTTATTTTTTTTATAAAAAATTGTTAATTTTCTTATGGATAATTTTATGACTTTCAGATTTTTTGCTTCACCTTCTTGAATAGAAAACAAAATTAAAATTTATCGCTGTTGACAATCTTCCCCATACGAATTTGAACTTATTAAAATTTCTGTTTAAAAAAAACAAATCAAAGCTGACGATGCATTGTTGACTATTTTTTTTTTATAACGAATAGATCTTTTTTCTTAGTAAATGTTCGATTACACAAATATTTGCCGGTTATATTCAAAAGTTTTGATTTATATTTGCTTTGTTGCTGATTTTCTACAAATGGAAAAATTTCTTGCTGTACATTTTTCCCCACACTTAACTGTTTGCCAACTTTTTTTCTTTAAGCAAAAAATATTAAATATATATTAAAGTTGCACTGTTGCCTATTTTCATGTAGATCGATTCTATTTTTGGTACAATTTATGTGCCCTTAGTGAAATTTTCATTTGTGTTTTTTGCTTTGAAAAATGCTTTTCTTTCTTCGCTTAATCGCAAAATCAAATTTTGCGAAATGACTTATACCACCCTTAGTCGCAGGCGGTTTTCTTACTTCTCGCCTTTCATTTGTAATCACACACAACGCTGCCAATTTTCGTTGTATGGAAATTTCCAGCTACGTCAAATCGTTGGCTCTTAATTTTCTTATTCCAAGAGAGATTGATAAATTCAATCTATGAAATTCAACAGACTTTTGGCAATGTTGCCAATTCTCATGCATTCATTCAATCATTCGTCGTAGCATGTTGACAATTTTCCTCAGGGAAGATTTAAAGTTCTAATTACTCCTACCGAAAGGTATATAGTATAAATGCTTCTCGAGTTTTAGAAAATTAATTACAAATTACCTGATGCCTGAGATATCTTCCAACTTTCCATTGAATAGAGCGATCTTCTATATGAAAACAAAGCAGACATTTTCCCGGTTCGGTTGAGGCTTTTAAGGCTCCTTCGTACAAAAACTGTCACCAACTAATTTTTCCATCCCCAGCTGAGCCAGAAAGCTATCTATTGTAACTCGCAATCAAAGAGGCAGTTTCCGCCTCAGAAATCCATTCAACAATATTTTATGCAGCAATTTAAAAGGAAATTAAACAAATTCCCATCAAGGATAGACCATCATTTTATGCATATTAAATTTTATTTCTTCTGCCCACACACACACACACACACACACACACACACACACACATACATACATTAACCTCGACAAACTTTTACTTCAATTAAAACTATAATTACAATTATATAGAAGAATAAGCATATAAGTATGTATGTAGGTATGTATGTGTGTAGAAGTGTAGAAGTGTACTTATGCAAAAGCGAAAGCCCATTAAAGTGCCAAGTTCACTCGAGCTGCCCAATTCAATCTTATTTGCATATATTATTTACTTGAAGCCACTTGTGGTCCGAAAGGCACGTTTGCAATGTGGATATTTATGTATGTATCGTATGTGTGCTGGGGCTGAAGTTTTAGTAATACATACATCTGTATCTGTATGTAATGCGTGTGGCATTAAGGAGTTTGATGAAACTCATGCGCAAAGATTTTTGTTTTTTTGCCACTCGAACATTTCCGTCTTATCTTGCATGTGGGACGAAATGAGCGAGTTTTGCTCATGCCTGTGTGGGCGTAGATCAACGGATTATTGTTGGAATACCCGAAGTTATGAAGTAGACGGTAGGAAAATACCATGAGTTCGAAAGTAATAGTCGCGAGGCACATATTGACCTAAAGTCATATTGAAATTGTCATATGAGTACGAATTTTGTTCTATCGTGCTCTTAGTGAGAGAGTTGTTAGAGAGAAAATAAAAATGCAGAACTCTCAAACGGATCTTAATCTGAGAGCGGCAGATACTCTTCTGGTTATCAGACGATGCCTTTATACTTCAGCGAACGCTTAAATCGAATAATTGGAAGCGGTTCCACTGTAGCTTCCCTTCTTTAGCCATAACCAAGGGCTCTGCATTGGTCGATTAGTGCATAAGATTCATGGTCGTATACGAGTTGCGAATGGCGAATAGAGCAGCCGATGGAACGATGAGCTGTACGGCGACATTGATATAATTCAACAAATCGAAAGACATGGGATATCCTGGCTAGGTCGGGGGAAGCAGAGGAAGTGGAAGACTTAAATTCTGTTGGAGAGACAAGATAAAGAAGGACTTGGCGGTGCAATGCTGTCAACTTCTCGTAACAGTGTGTAAGCCAGTAAAGAAGAAGAGATTAAGTGAGTATTTTCAGAACTTAAACGTAATAGAATATTAGTGCTGATATCTGAAGAAGAGAAGATTAGTTGAGCATAGATGAGAGGACGAAGTATTTTCTTCCTCGACCTACGTGACGTACGTACCGCTTAGGCAGTTCTCCTTGTTGTGAGGCTCAAGTTGAGACTGCCGAGTGAAACCAGGTCTGGAGATCCGCCTCTTTATCAAATACTTCAACGCTCTAGTGTTTTAGTCCATACGAAAAAGGGATCCCAGTAAGAAAATATTTATCGGCGTCTTAAATAAACCATTCAAGCTCAGTCCTTAATTAGAATGCCTTAGGTATATTTATGGTCGTCTTAAATTAATAATCCAAGCTCAGTCCTTAATCTAGAACGCCTTAGGTATATCGAAGGTCCGTCAGGAGGTACTTCGTTACCAGAAGAGAAACTTCGTAAGTTTCTCTACTCATTCGGAGTAATTTATTGAACTGGGACTAGTGCAACTGGAGATTACTGGTCTCAATGCCATAGAGAACAATGTTGCTGTGTAGTCCAGTCTGATTCTGTCAGCAATGAAACTCATTGAAACACCTCTCGTCACATGCAACGTGCTAAGGATTTAATTTCCTTATAGACCTCGCTTAAGCGGGAAACAAATTTTTACTGCCGCAAGCCGAGGCAAACTTTTCCGAAATCGATCCGATATGAATCAGGAAAATATTTCAAAGATAACCGGCGTCCTGATCGAAAATTGCCTCATATGATAGCATGCTTCAATATTGAGACCTCTGCAAGAATTTACCCGCGGTAAGGCATGCCCGGATTTTTATCCCACAACATTCCCCAAAAACTGCTTTGGGGAAAAATCTGTGCTGTTGCAACAACAACAATAATAACAACAACATCAGCAACAGCAACAACCATAACATTGAGACCACTTTCAAAAGATGCTGCGAAAAGAATGAGGCGAAAGATGAGACGATTTCCCACCTGTCATATGACTGCCCAGCCCCAAGCAGAAGTAGACTTCAGAATATTTTATAGATAGCCAAGATGGCCTACATTTACTGTCTCATGAGTGTCTATATTAACGAATCAGAAATATTTTAGCTATTCCAACCTAAATCAAAGACCTCGCTATGCCAGAGTCGAGAAGATGTAAGAAGATGAAGAGCTCTAAGCGGAATTTTTGAATCTGTTTTAAATAATTTAATAAAAATAGAGTTCGAACCATGAAAGTTACTATTAACCTCACGGAAAATCCGGTCTCTAGTGCGGACTTCCGTAACAGAATGATCTGACAGCTTCGGTGGTCCCAGCCTTGGGTCAACCAAATTACTCTGGTTGCTATGAATAACTAAGAACTCGTCAGCGAGAAAGTTACAAACCAATTTCCTTGCAGGGCTATTTAAATTTAAGACTTCTGGGAATGTGTATGTTTGTAAATTTGCATGCCTAACCATATGCATATATGTATGTATGTGTGTGCGTATATTTTGGTAACCAAAAATTTAAGAACTATTTTTATTGCCCACAAGTTTAAATTACTTTGGCAAAACAATCAGGGAGCCCAGAATCAACCAAGATGTAGACGCAGCCGCAGGCAAATGCGTCGAAACGGACGGCGGAGGCGATGGGCAGGCGCAAGCGTAAATGCAATAACTAAAGCGAACAAGACATAAACGAACATATTTGTGATTGCTGATATGTGCTTGCGAGGGCATGCTTGTATTGCTGCATATGTGTGTGTGTGTGTGTGGTATTTTCCGGTAGCGCAATTAAACCCCAAGAAACTAATCCCAAAATGGCAATAAATATTTGGTACGTAAATGGGCAAGACGAACAGTGGTACTCGCACACGATGAATGGACCGAATGAAAATGACCAGAAAATAAAGGAGAAACGAACGAGAGAATTGTGCGACGAAGTGTTGGAAAGGAGTGTGGAGAGCTCGAAAGCTGCAAATGTAGGAAAGAGTGAAGAAGCGTACGCTGAATCGTTGAAGTATTGGTGGGAATGATGAGTTTGAAGCAGATTGGAGAACTCCATCGAGTGGGTATGATTGTGCGATGCCACAAAAGAAGGCGGCACATTTAATCTGCTTGCTTTCGAACTGTTGTTTATTAGTGTACATATGTATGTGTACATGTGTATGTTTGTATATTGGTATACCTGACTCCACAGCGTGCGCAAAATGCTATTAACATAGTTTACTTGGCCATAAAATGAGCATCGTTGTCGAGAAAAATGGAAGAAGAAGAAGAAGAAGAAGCGCAGAGTATTTCTTGACCAGCGCCGATGGGTGTTGCCCATTCGAGATATTGGTGTTGATGTTATTGCTGTTTTTGATGAAGATGCTATTTTGATGGCTGGCCATTTCAGCATTTTGGCACACCTACAAACAAAGACTAACAATTTTTATTGCAAATTATTATCAACTGACAACTGACAAATGACAGCAAGAACATGCCAATGCATACACACATACACTCGTATGTACACCCCTATCCCTAACAAATTGCTTGGGGTAGTAGCCATATTGGAGTGGAGACGAAAAATAATGACATGAAATCTATATCCAACAATGTTACCACATCACCATATCACCAGCATTGCCATCACTCTATGTTAAGTGTATTTGCTACATCTATTAGTTGTGTTTGATTGTTGTTGTTGTTGTTTTGATGTGCTTAGTGACATATTTGCATTTTAATTGCCATAGGAAACATTAATTGAGTGTAGTCCCATAGAAGGGAAGACATACACATACATATATATGTAAATATATACATATATATATATATACGAGGTAAGTTCAAAAAATATCGCGAATTTTGTGTTTTTTTTTTCAAAAATTATTTATTTATTTATAAATATCTTTTTTGTCCCCTTCGAAGAAATCCCCCTGAGATATTATACATTTGTGCCAACGGTTTTTCCAATCTTCGAAGCACTTCAAAAATTCATTTTTTTATCTTGTTCATCTCCTCCTTCGATGCCGTCTTTATCTCGTCAATCGTAGCATAACGTCGTCCTTTCATGAGCCTCTTCAGTTTAGGGAACCAGAAAAAGTCACAGGGCGCCAGATCTGGGTAATACGGTGGCTGCGCAACAATTAAGTGAACATTAAAACGGCCGAGCTTGTCAGCATAAGTGACAGACATGAGTACCAACATAACGCCACAAAAAAAATCGAAGTTTGATTATACGTAACCCGCGAAAATTCAAAATTCGCGATACTTTTTGAACACACCTCGTATATACACTTGTTATGGAAGCTTAATGGCTGTTTTCAAGTTTTCAGATTTCAAATATTGCGCATATTTGAAGCCCAAACACAAGCAACTCAATCAAAACTAACTAAAAATTTATGATCTATAGCAAATGAAAGAAATGAACGGCGACTGCTACGTGGTTAGCACTGCGTAGAGGCATTCTGACCTCGACCGACAAATATTCAAGGTTATAGAAAATCGCCCTCGGCAGAGGATATCAAGCTGACCGGGTGTATTGCTGATATAAAATTAAAGCTCCTCATAAAAACAGATCAAGCGTTCGGAGACGGCTTAGTATAAACTGTAGTTCGTTCCATTTGTTGGAAAGACATCAAGACGCAAAAACACAAATTGGAGGCGGATGAGGAAGGAGGGAGGAAACGAAAAGTTAAGAGCTATAACCGCCGCACCATGGTACATGCTTAATGAAAATAACCATAGTGGTCTAGATATACCTACCATCAAGGAAGAGATCGAAATCGTAGCTGAAAAATATTTAAAAAACTGCATAACCATTCGAACACTTTGGTTAACACCTTGTCCCGTGCAACAAGTCAAGCCTCTTGTAAGCCAGCAGGACAATTATACTAATGGGCTTTCTGTTTTAGTTTAGTTTGAGATTTTATTACTAATTTTTGGGCGTCCGATGACGAAGCAGGTTTCATAAGTGAATACTAATTTTGAAAAAAAAAAAATTATGTTATATTTTTTACCACAGCGGAGAATAGAGTGGGCCTGACAAAATGAGGCAGCCAAATTTGGAAATAACACAAATAGATTATCTGAAATGATTCACTTGGTAAATTTAAATTTAAGTCATTTATTTGCTGGCGTAATATATATATATGTAAATTAATATATTTTTATTAATATATAATACTTTTTTGAAAAATATTTAAAATACTTGTTATTAAAAAAAAAAAAAAAATTGTTATAAATTTGTACATTTGTGTGTCCAAAGAAAATTGTCCTTAACGCTTAGCAGGCAATACATTTGCCGAATACCGACCGCTATAATTACCCGGCGGATCATAGTTGGCAACAATGTAAATACGATTTCCGCTGAAAGCAAAATTGGTAAAAGACACGTTTTATCACGAATGGTAGAATGAAAAAAATGAAACAAAAAATATTACAAAAATTTATTAAAGAAAAAATCTTCACAGATGCATTTTTTATTAAATTAAAAAATATTTTTTTTTTTGCCAAAAAATGTTTTTAAATTTTAAAAATTATTATTCACCTCTTCGCCATCGCCACGCCTAAACGCTGGCTATCCTTCCATACAACTTGTGTAAAGTGTCCTGTTTTCGCGCTAAACTCACCGCCACTCAGGAAATCATAATCTTTTATCTCGGCATACCAATTGATGACAGGATCACTGCCATTGACACTTGCCCCACCCACTGACATGTAGAGATTTTCACCATAACGATTATTGGAACGATGCTGAAATATATTTCCGCGCGCTAATACCTCCGCCCACTCTTTAGCATAATTGCAGATGCCACGATCTAGTACTAGTGGTCGGCTGCCGTGCTTGGCTCGGTATTGATTGTGCGCCTCTAGGCACTCCTTTTCAAATTCATTGAAGTTCATTGTCTAAAAGAGCTGAATGAACACTGTTAAGTGGTTAACGCAAATATAAATTAGTTACTTTTATAGTGGGAAAGCTTAATCAACTTCCAACTTCAGCCTTCACGCACATATTTTTTTTTAAAGAAAGTGAATTTTGTATTGCCGACCAGCATTGATAATTCTTAGAAGACTTGATAAACACTAAAACCTCAACTAAAATTAAGCCTTTTCAACTTATGGCGTCGATATGCTGATATCTATGTACATACACGTATGTATATTTGCTAGAAATGTGTGTAATATTTGGTATCTTTTTGAAGTTTACATTAATGTCGATGTGTACATTTACAGATAACAAACTTTACGAAAAGCTAAAGAATTAATCACTCATTTTATAACATACGCCGTAGTATTTTATTTATTTATTTATTTATTTAGATAATAAATCACTTATATTTAAACGTAAATATTTACTTCTGGTAATTAAAAATTCATTGCACCATGAAAATAAAAATGGATGGGATGATGATTCAACTTGAAAAAAAAAAATTTAATTTATGTTGCGGATTTGTTAAAAAAATTATTTATCTCAAGCTTTACTCAACATTGTACTATTTTACTTTAATTTATTTGTTTTTGCTTTAATTAAGTAAAATCGAATTTATTTAATTTTTGTATTTTTATTTAATTTAAGTTCATTTGATCTAATTGATGTTTATTTAACTTCATTTTCTATAATTTATTTTATCTTATTTATCTTATATTATTTTATTTTAATTTATAAAATTTTTAAAATTATTTTGTTTCACTATCTTTAATATTTTTTCTTTTATTTTATTTAATCCTTGTATAATATAACAACAGTAGGTCATTTCAGTTTATATTCTTTCATCTTTTATATTTTTTTAGTTTTACTTTATTTGATCTTAATTAATTTCTATTTAACTTATTTTATTTCATTTTTTAATATTTTTTTATTTAATTTAATTTCATTTTATTTAAAATAATTTATTTTATTTTAATCTATTTTCTTTGAATTTATTTTATTGTGTTTTATTTTACTTTATTTTATTTAAATTAATTTAATTTTATTATAATTAAATTATTTTATTTCAATCTATTTCTTTGAATTCATGTTATTTTGTTTAATTTTTATAGTTTAATTGTAGTTTTTTATTTAATTTTTATAAAAATTTATTTTCATATATATTTTTTAAATATTTTTTATTTTATTTTCTTTTTATTTATTTGTTTTTGCCTTAATAATGTTAAATAAATTTTTAATAAAATTTGAATATTTGTTTAACTTAGCTCATTTTATTTAACTTTATTTACTTTTTCAGTTTGTTTATTTTTCTTACTTTATTTAATGTTATTTTATACTATTTTTTTATGTTTTGTTATATTTTATTTTATTTTATTTCATATTTTTAATTTTATTTCTTCTTAATTAAATTGTTTTTGCTGTAATTAGATTCAATATTTTTTTTAATTTTTTTAGTTTTCTTATTTTTCTTACTTTAATTTTACTTTATTCATTTCATTTTTTTTTCTTATATTTTTTTATATAACTTATATAATTTAATTTCTTTTATTTCATTTTACTGTGTTGTTTATTTGATTTAAATTTTTTTATTTGAGTTAATTTTTTTAATTTTATTTTTTTTATTTAAATTTATATTTATATAATGTTTTTTTTTTAATTTTTTTATTTAAATTTATATTATTTTGTTTTATTGTTTTATTGTAGTTTAGTTTATTTCATATTTTTACTCTTATTTCCTCTTAATTAATTTGTTTTTGCTGTAATTAGATTCAATAGTTTTTTAATAATATTTGAATGTTTATTTAATTTATTTTTATTTGATCTTATCTTATTTTAGTTAACTTCATTTACTTTTTTAATTTATTTTATTTTATTGTTTTATTTTATGTAATTTTAAATTTATTTTGTTTTTTTTCTCCAATTAAATTCATTTCATTTCTTATCTTAAACTTTTTAATTCAATTTATATAATTTTACTTATTTTATTTTATTTTACTATGTTGTTTATTTGATTTAATATTTTTATTTTGTTTTATGTTATTTTTTTCGAATTTATTTTTTTTTTTGAATTTTTTTAGTTATTTTATGTTCGTGCATTTTTAATTTTATTTCTTTTAATTAAATATTATCCTATTTTATTTTATTTTTTTTTATTTTATTTCATATCTTTTCTTCTTTTTAATTTTAATTTTTATAATTTAAATTATTTTATTTCATTTTACACAATTTTTTATTTGTTTTATTATAATTTTATTTAAATTAAGCATATTTTTTTATTTTGTTTTTTTTTTCTCATTAATTTTATATTATTTATTTTATTTTAATTAATTATATTTTATTATATTGGATTATTCTTAATTTTTGTTTCTGGTTTTATCTTATGTTATTTTTTTTTTGCTTTATCTTTTTTAACTTTAATTTTATAATTTAATATATTTTATTTTATATTAAAGTTTTTTTTATTTGATTTACATTGTTGTATTTTAATTATTTTATTAAATATTATATTTTATTTTATTCTTTTTTCTATGAATTTATTTGCTTTTTTTCAATTTATTTCATTATTTTAATGCACTTTTAATCTTTTTTAATTTAGTTATATGATTTCTTTTTTATTTAAATTTATTTCCTTTATTTCATCTTAACCAAATTATAATTTTTTGTTTAATAAACTTTATTTTATTTGAGTAACTTTTAATTTTTTTCTCTATTATTTTAATGTTATTTTTTTATTATTTTTAATTTTATTTTATATGACTGAATTTTTAATTTTTGAATTTTAATATTTAAGATTTAATTTATTTGAATTCTTTTTACAATCACTTTTTATTTAAGTTATTTTGTTTGATTTTAAATATTTTGTTTTTTATTTTATCCTTTTTTCTTTGAATTTTTGGTTTTTTATTGCACTTTAATGTTTCTATTACTTTAATTTATTTTATTTCCATTATTTAATTTTTTTTAAAGATATCATTTTATTTTTTGTATATATTTGTATTAAATTTTTTTATTACTATTTTTGACTTAATTGATTCAGTTATTTTTTTATATTTTTTTTATAAAATTGCGTTACATTACCTTTTGACTTGCTGCGGCGTTTATTTAATTAACACAATGAGTTCATATCTACAATGCGTCCAAGTCGCGTCGAATATCACTCGCTCCTTTGTTCAACCGCTATATTCTCAGTAAGTACAATAATTCACTCAATTGAATGCGAACAACGCGATTTTGTGCGGAGAATACAAGCGATTGTTGTTAGTACATATTCATAACTGTTATGAACTGGAGCATTAAAGCATTTGCAGATGATTAAGTATTATGATTGTGTTTTTGCTTTGTTTTATTTTATTATTTTATTTTTTTTTTTTGTTGTTGACACACCCACCCACTAGAAATAGTCGAAGCACTCGGTCTCTTTGCGGCATTCACATAGAGAGTTCATATAATATATTATATGCGATAAGAATTTTTCATTTATTATATGAACATACTCATATGTATGTAAGTGTATTCTTTTGAGCATGAATATTTATAATGACACATAGATCTTACTTATTTACTACACCTTCACTCAGTACCTCTAGTAGCTTCGACACATTTTCGCAATATCCATAGGCCGTGTCGCCAAATTGATTGTTTGGGAGTGGCAAGTAATGACGAATTTTCTTGCGCTGAATCAGTTAAGCGGAAAATAGAAATTTTAAAGTGCATACATGCACACACATATATGTATATAGACGCGAGAACGATCATCGGCATTCTAGCGATAAAGTAATCCAAGACCACAAAAAAGAAATATGAACGGAGGAAAAACATTTTTTTTTATAAATTACAAGTCCATATTTTGAGAAATCGGAGGAAAATACATCGCAAAGAAAGAAAAAATTAAATTAAATTATCTTATTAATTATAATAACAATTGGCGCCCTGTAACCGTAAAAGTTACTTGCGGCCTATTTTTTCCTACAATTTGAAGTTTGATTTGTGATGTTTTTTAACAAAGAAGAAGAAGAAAATTTAATCGTATAATTGAAGCTCCTTGCTGTGGGGCAGGATGATGAATGTTGATCGGACCGCGGAACTCGAGACTTTGCCTTCCTAAGAAAAATCCTTTAAAATAGCTTTGGATTTTAAATACAATCGCTTGAAGCTTTCCAAGAATATCTGTAAGTTTATATTTGTATTTACTTCAGCTTTATGAAGAAGTTTAAGACTATAAAGCCATATTTGTTCTCCTAATACCCTTATAATTACTCAAAACTCTTGAAATTGAATTTAAGTTCTCACGCTTGACATACTAATGGATAAAAGTGATTGTTTATAAATGTAAATGTTATGTATGCCTCATCATGCATACAATAGGCGCTCTTGCAAAGGTGTTGATCCCATGTATTTGCATGTGTATTTGCACTGTGTGAACTTCAATTTTGCACAGCTTTAAATAATCTCTTGTTAATACCGCGTTAATATTATTTTGTGTGAGCACTTAACACAGATTTAAAAGTACTACAAGCACATACATACATATTTAAGTAAAAGCAATCAAACATAAGCCAGTCGATGTATGGAATAAATCGGTATTATGAAGGAATGAGCTGTGAATAATTTCTGAGTTTCGTTAATGCATACAAGTTATGTATGTATGTGTGGATGTTTTTTGTTTAAAATTAAATATATATAAGCGATTTATGCAAAAAAAAATCCAAAAATCAAATAAAGTCTACACTTATGGCTTTGCCGACACCCTGTTCTTCTCTTACTAACTTATTATTGCATACCTTTAGGCCTCCGCAAGAGATCGTCAACCTGATTGGTTGAGGCGAAACCAATTAAAACAGCCCTGATTGCTAAGGCGACTTAGCCCATTAGCATACAGCCGAAGTTCAATACAAATAACCTCATATACCTATATTGTAGTGAAACAATTTAATTAAAAATATCATAAAGTAAAGCAAAATACAATAATATAAATATGCACGAAAAATAAAATAATATAATATCAAACAAATCTTACAAAAAAAATAAAATAAAATAAAATAAATAAAATAAAATAAAATAAAATAAAATAAAATAAAATAAAATAAAATAAAATAAAATAAAATAAAATAAAATAAAATAAAATAAAATAAAATAAAATAAAATAAATAAAATAAAATAAAATAAAATAATTTAAAATAATTTAAAATAAAATAAAATAAAATTAAATCAAGATTAACTAAAACTAAAAGTTCGATTAATTTGGCATTTTACGATTTGGACCATATATTTTTATTGCTAGGTAACGTTTGAGTTCCCCAAAATTGTTGGTGCGTAGGTATTAGTGATCCACCTGAAGAATCGGAGACAACGGTGAATCCTTGGGGAAATGCAATAAGGTAGGCATGAATGAAACGCCAGTTTCTCCAAAGACATGTGTTCATGAGATTTCAAGGCGCTCATAACCTTCACCTGTATTATATTTCCCGAATTAAATTGAACCTACATTCTTCACTACCAAAGATAAGCCGGTCTATATAAGGCATGATTGTCAGTCACTGCAATCTTTCCTAACCTAAATATTCCTGAATAATTCTCCTTAAAGCCTCTCTCATCTCAGCCAGAGCGCTCATAAAAGAGAAAATCTCCCTTTTTACGCTGAAGCGTCATTATAGCCTTGATCAAAATAATAATATTTTGCTATATAAAAAGTTTTATTTATATAAAACAGAATTAATATTTTATGAAAAAAGTTAAAGCTAAAGTTCTTAGCTTAAATATTTCTAAGTCAGTTTTCTATTGTATACCAGGTCGCAGGCATTAAATTTCTTAAGTAAATATCACACTTAAAACAGTCGAACTAATGTCTTCCTTTTCTTATTCCCATGCACTTCTTACTTTCTACGCCTTCTCCTCCACACTCCAGTTGCGTCCCAAAGCGAAAGGTGCATCCGTACGCGTCTTCACATAGAAAATACCAATCTTCTGTTGAGCGGGCTCACCACCCATGCGATACGAGTCACTGGGCGCCATATCTCTGTTGCACTCCCACTCAGGTTCACGACGCTCACACCGCTGACCCAAAAAGCCGACATCACTCACAATGGACTCAGCGAACATTTTATATGCGCGTATATGTGAACAGCCCACATAGTAGCAGCGACCTTGATATAAACCATAGTTCGGATAGAAGGTGGCATTACCGGTTGGTTCGAGGAAACCCAAATTACCACTGGTCTGTATCGATTCCACATACTTGGCGTCCGAAGGATCGATACGAAATTCGACGCTGCGATGGCGAAACTTCGGCCCAGCCGGATCTAGCGCAAAGATAGTGTTGTAACGCGCAGGTTTGATGAGTTTACCCGCAGCACCAGCTATTTGTGCGCCCAATGAGTGGCCGATCAAATAAATGTCATCGAAATTAGCATTAACGGTACGTTGCAAATGTTGTGTGAAGCGCGCAACTTGCGCGCCGAAACCCTCAATCATCTTGACCACAGCAAAATAATTGACATTTGTCGCGCTGGCGCTCCAGTCAACCACAATCACATTGTAATCGCCGCGCTTGAGGTAGGCATTCTTGACGTCGCGATTGAAAGAACCCCGCGATTGACTCATCCAGCCGTGTATGATGATGCTAATTTGGGTAAGCAAATTTTGTTAATTAAAGACACACCCTTTTTTAAGGACATTAATTTTTCAATTTCTTTTCAATTACTCACCGCGTTGGTTGTCTGGGATTGTAGCCCGCACGCAACAATTCTTCGCGTTTATCACTTAAGCGTAACTCGCGCCCACATTCGGGGAATTCCTGTTTGAAGAGATAGAAATTCATATTTGCCTGTGACATGCCGAAGGGATTCAAATGACTCATGAACTTCTTCAGGAAAGAGAGATCAAAGTATTTCTTGAAGCCGCGTGGCGCACGCAAATCATTATCGCATTTATGCCACACACAAAACTCGTCATCTGCACTCTCATCCTCGAGTTCTTCATCCATATTGAAATCTTGTATCATATTGTTTGGCTGTTGTTGCTGGACATTGTACACCTCATCTTCGAGATTAGTGAGTAGATCATTGCAGAATTCTCTATCAGTCTGTACATCATAAAAGGGCGCTAGAATCGCTGCAAAGGCTGTGGGTGAGATAAAAGAAAATTTAATATTTAGCTAAAGTTGGGTTGATGATGCCGTATGATGATGTGACGTGGAGGTATGTTGTAGTCGTATGATGTGGTTATGTGAAGATGATTCGCGATATGATGTCAAAAAAAATCAGGTAAGGGCTGAGATGAAAAATATAAAATTGTTAGGTAAAGTTGGTCTGGAATTATAGGTATCTAAAACTAGTTTGATGCGATGATGCCGTATGGTGATGTGACGTGGAGGTATGATGTAGTCATATGATGTCGATATGTGACGACGATGATGTAAAGTAATTGCAGGACAAGGACTGAGATGAAAAATATTACATTTTTAGGTAAAGTAGGTTTGAAATTATAGATATAATATAAAACAGGCGTGTTGGGATGATGTGATGATGTGACGTGGTGATAAGATGTAGTGATGTGATGTGGGGATGTGATATATAAAAACCCGATTTAGTACTAAATTTATTTACCACGCTTAAATATCGGTTCCTAATGATGTGATTTAATCTCAAATAAATTCAGACCACGTGATGTGTTTAGTGTATAGAGTTTAGTGCGCGAGGTTGTGACGCAAATAATGCATGATAAAATCAAAAAAGCGGATAATTTAAATTAGCTTAACAGCAAGCAAGTTTAGAAAATAAATTTTTATTTTAAATATGAAATAACAAATTTTAGTTAAATTTAATAGAGCGTCGTGAAGTGATGTGCTACGATGTGATGCGATATTAAGATACTTTTAGAGATGCTTTTAAAACTTTTTGAAAATTTATTTTCGAAATCTAAAATCCGAGAATTCCGAAACTGAAAATATCTATGGACAAGTATATTACTCAAATTTCCAAAAATTATGTAAATAAAACTGAAAATTAGACATTTGCTTTTCATGCTATTTTTTGATATGTGATATTTGAAAATTTTAATAGAATAACCAGCTTATCAAATTTAAAACTTTAAAAACAGCGCATTTTCGGATTTTGAAATTTTCGAGTTTTATGCTTAAAAATTAAAAAAGAAGTAAACGTTTATCTTAATAAATTAATCGAAACTCTAAAAATTCAATTTTGAAAACTATTTTGACACTTCATTCATAAATTCCCGAAAATTCACTTTTGAAACTTAATTTCAGAATTCTACCATTTAAAAGTAATTAAGAAATTAGTATTCATAGTTTTTTCTTAAGAAAATTCAATTTTTGTGTTCAGAGTTTTTTTTCGATAAAACCAAAATTTTGGAATACGACGTCGTAAACATAATTTAAAAATTTGAAGGCGTAATTTCGAAAAGTTTGAGTTTCCTAATTAATTTTTTTTTTAATTTTTTATTTCAAATTTCATCCAAAAATCTCAGATTGGCGAAATTAAAAATTTTATTTCGAAAACAGTTTAGAAGATTTAATTTCGAAAAGTATGTTTTTCACAATTTCAATTTCGAAATTTTTAATAACACGAATAATTTTTGAAAATTAATTTTTAGAAAACTAATTCAATTTAAAAAAAAAAAAACAATTTAGAATATTAGTTTATCCAAAATATTTTTGAAATACTCAAAATGTATTTATAAAATGTGAAGAAAAGTATTCAGAATTTTGTTTTAAAAATTCAACTTCAGTGCACAGTTCGATATTGAGAAATCAAAATAACAATTTCAAAATTCAATACAATAATACATTTATATTTATTCAATAATTTTAAAATGTTATTTCGAAAATTCGATTATCGAATGCGGAAGTTTAAGTGTTAGAATTTTTATTTCAAGCACAAATTTCCGAAAAATTCTGTTTTGTAATGCTAATATCAAAACTTTATTTTTCAAAAGAAAAAAAAACAATAAAATTAATTTTCAAATTTTAGTTTTGACATTGAAGTGTTTTAGAAAACTTAACACACGTCGAAAACTTAATTTCGAAAACATAAAAATTTAAGCTACTTGGAAAATAAAATTTCGAAACTACGTTTTTTTTATTTCATTGACAAGAATTTCAAATATTCATATTCGAAAAACTAAAGACGTAATTTTGAAATTATTAAGAAAAGTGATTTGCGAAAATTTAATTTTGTGCACAAAATTTCCTAATCTTAATTAGGAAATACTGAAAATAAAACTTCGAACACAATTTCGAAAGATTAAAATTCGAAAATTTAACTTCAAAAATTTTACTAAACTCACAAAAGTTTTCAAAGCCTTTAAACAGTATTTTCGAAGTTAATTTCGAAAGCAATTTTTTCTAAACTTCGAAAAGATATGAGTCGCTTAATTGAAAAGAAAATTCCAATGATGGAACTAATTTTCAAGCATTTTAATTTGTACTAAATAAACATCTTAAATTTTGTGCCTACGAACTTTACGGTATTTCTACATTTCAATTAAATTTGACCTTGAGAGAATAACAATCAACCATTTTAATGAGTTTATTTACTTACCACAGTGATTTGCGAACACCAACAAAGACATCCATAACAACAGCAACTGCAAAGCAATCCTACTTCTAGCACACATTTTAGCAAAATTACTTTGGAATGAATAAATTCACTAATAAAAAGTCTAAATCTCGCAAATTTCAGTTCACTTCGCACTGCCAACAACTCAATATAGCACTTCCAGCTGTTTAGATGTGTACGCCTGCACCGTTAATTTAATGCCACGCTTAAATTTCGCTTAATTGCCCTGGCAGCCGGAAAATGCTGCCTGAGTTTTAATTTAATTTTATTTCAATTCAATTCAACAGCTACAATATAATCCAACTGTGGCTCTGCGTGTGTGTGTGTGTGTATGTGTGCGTGAGTTTGTGCAACTTTGTTTGTGCAACAACAACCGCTCAATGCTCGGTAAGCTTTCCACTGTCAACACTTGGTAAACAATAATATTCACAATCACAACAAAAACAAAATACAAAAACAAAGAACAGCAAGCACCGCCAATGGCCAACACCAATAATTATTCCGGCACCGCTTTGTTCCCGGCTGATCGGCTCTTAGCGATTGTTCGGTACACCGGACGCCTCTGTGTTGTTCTGTTCTCTTCTGTTTGTGCCGTTTGTAGATCACAGCAGCAGCTGTTATTGAACTCTGTTGGCCAGCACCATTGTGCACTGCATTTTTATACAATTCTTGGTGGCTGCGTTGAGTAGACTTGGTTTTGAAGGGGATATAAATGCTACATACATACGAGTGCATATGTATATGTTAAGCGTTTATTGTTATTGATCGCATGCACTGATACGAGTATACAAACATGTGTGTTTGTTGTGTTTGTTTTTATTGTTATTGGGATTTGTTTTTTGTTGTTGTTTTAAATAATACGCGCTTAAGTTATTGTTGCTGCTGCACTTTGTCGCTGGGCTCTGTATCGCATTATTGCAATTGCAGTTTGCGGCTTGTGTCGACTGCGGGTGGCAGTGAAGAGCGTGGCGTTCATAGCGTTCGTCTGAGTAAAGATTAAAGCTTTTCAATTAATATGGCATTCCATACAGTTTTTGATATCGAAGCTGCAGCAGCATTTAGTGGGAAAATGGTTTCGTGTAATTTTGATTATATGTATATGCATGCGTGTATATACATTCATATAGTCATACATATAGACGTATGTAATACGCTGCGGCTTATGCATGTCGACGCATTTATGATATTGTTATTGGCTTGGTGGGCATGGCTGGTAATTTGTATAAAATTCTGTTTAAAAATCACATGCAAATGAGGCAAAAAACAAAAAATAATAATATTTGAGATTTGATACAAAGAGAGTTCAAATAATTTAACTGTAATACAACGATATTTAATAAACCTTAAAAATTTTCGAAATTTGTATATTTCTGAAAAATATTTAGCCTGAGTTTTCAAATATATTTTCTGATGCTCATGCAGTTTTTTCGCTGTCAGGAAAAGCAGATTTTTTTTTAGTTTTTTTTAAATCTCTAGGCATCATTTTAGTTTAGTTTATTTTTTCAAAATGTAGATCCTTTTAATTAAAAGTTTCCATTGAAAATTAAATTAAATGCTGATCTTCATATACGAGGGGACTCACAAAAGCTCAGTGATTGACCAGAAAGAAATATTCTTAAACTTTGTCCTTTTCTATCTTCCCTACAAAACAGCCATTGATTTCAATGCATTTCTTAAGCCTATAAATCCAGTTCTGAAAACAGTCTTCAAAACCTTGCTTTTTAAGCTTATCAAGTTCAGCCTTAACCGCATTAAGTATCTCCTCCTCTTTGCTATTAAAGACTCTTCCTTTTACATTTTTTTTTTAATTTTTGAAAATAATCAAAAAACGCACGTTACTATATCCGGGGAATGTGTATCTGGACATATTTTTTCTATCCCAGAGATCGCAATAAAATAACTCGTTATTTCAGCGTGTTGGGATGGTGCGTTGTCGTGATGTAAAAAGTAGCGCCACAAATCGTCTTTCTGCCTGTTTTCCAAACTTTTCGGTGTACCATTTCTAAGTGACCCTCTAACCCTTTTCCAGTGGAGTATCTGCCAAGATTTGAGATCGGGTGAAGTAAACTGACCTCACTGCTTTTGCCGCTGATTTTTGTTGCTTAGATTTTCCAGATGGGTTTGCTCCTGTTGGGCTACATACCATGGACTGCTGTTTGGTCTCTGGATCATACTTATAGAACCAAGATTCATCAGCAGTAACGACTTTCTATAAGTTTCGAATTTATTTAGGAAAAAATTAGCAAAATTTACTCAAACCTCTTTTTGGGTCTCATTTAAAATTCATGGTACCCAACGAGAAGATTTCTTCGTGCATCCCTGTTGATTGCTGAATATTCGCGATGCAGCCATGGCATTCAAACCTAATTCATTAGCAATCATTTCTTGTGTCAATCGTGGTTCTTCGTCAATTTTGGACTTCACCAGAGTTACAGTGACGTCAGCAGTGTAAGATTTTGGTTGACCTTCTCGGAGCACGTCCTCTATGGAAAAATTTCTGGAATCTTCGAAACCGAATCCTTCCATAAGCTATTTGGCATTCTCTGAATATTTATGTTGGCTGTAAATTACGACGAAAACCGAAGAGCATGACAAGGCGAACTTCTGTTTGCGTTGGTGGTGGAATTTCGTCTGACCTGTCCTCAGCTATCTAGCGTGTTCTCGTCTCCAGCTTAGACCGTTCTCAAATTTGAATGGAAAACTAATAAAGTAATTGCAAAAAATTTGGTATTTTTAGATTCAACAAAAGCCAATTGAAATTCATCAACTGACCAAAAACTGGTTAATTCCCTCATAAGTACCATAATATAATCGACACTCTTTAATACTGTAGTGATTTTTGGCTGAGCTCCTCCCTCAATCTGTGATGTGCGTCTTCATATATTTTCCACCAAATTCAGGGACCTACGGCTTATACTAACGAGTGACTGATGTATCATAATGAGGAAATTTTATTTAATGTCAGAAATACACTCAGAGGGTTTGACATTCCTTGTCGCGCACAATCGGAATTGAAAAAAAAATAATATTTGCTATAATTTAGATGCTGGTCGAACCAGCATTCGAATGGTATTCATATCACACCTTACCAACAAGCGGCTTACAGTAAAAGTAAATGAATTTATCTCCGAAAAGTATCGAGTTGTGGCTGGTTTTCTTCGAGTGAGTCGACAAAACTGGCTGTCGAAAGTTAAAAATCTTACGCATCCTCTAGCAAACGTGTTATCCTGCTCTGGACGCCGAGCACCCCTTCGAAGAAAGAATCTGTCAGACTTTTTAAAAGCAACGTGTTTTCTGTCCTTCGCTACTAATAATAGACTAAAGCAATAAATTACTAGTTATTAAGAGTTGTAAATCATTAATTTATTGATTTATTAATTATGTAATTAATTGAATTAATTAAAATTTAAATTAGTAAACTAAGCCTAACAGAACTCTCTTGTGCCATTACATTTCAGTAATAAGAAAAGAGAAATTCCATGAAAAAGTGCATTTAGCAAATTTTTTTCTTCTTCTAATGGATCCATACGTGTATTCAATATTATAGGATCTGCTTGGAAGATAATCCCAAAAATTATTAAAAAATCTCCAAGTACAACTTTGCTTCCGCCGTTTTCCGATAGGTGGCTGTACCGGCTGANCTTTTAATTTTAGAAAAAAAACGGCGGAAGAAAAGTTGTACACCTGATATATGTGACAAGATCAAACATTTCTGAGCAAACACGCTTATGCAAGAAGGTACTGGAAAAAAACATATAATTTTTTTTTCGAAATGCTCGAACAAAATCTTGAGCTCTACTACCAACTGAGCAGAATTATAAACATCACGAAATGATTATTAATTTATGGTAACTTTGCGAAAATATTTAAGGACAGCTTTCTGGGCTGAATAAAGCAGTGAAGTTGCCGTTCTCGTATCGTATTTTTTATAATCACGGATTTGAGTTTTAAGATTTTATTAAAAAATTTATAGTTTAATTGAAATATAAAATATATGTTTTTACGCTCATCTCTTATTTAGCACTTGCTTTATTTGAGAACTTCAGAACTCGCTTTGTTTAATGTCCAAATATGTTTAATGCAATTTTCGCCCGTCCGAACACTCAATGGAGTTCCGCAAATTTAATTCATTACACTTTCTATGCGAATTTTTTTCAACATTTTTTCGCTGCAACCAGTTTAAGTAGTAAATTTTTATATTTTTTGTTATCTCTTAAATATATTTATATGGAAATGTGGTATAAAATACGGAGAGAAAAAAGGAGCAACTTTATGCATACGTCAGAGGCAAATCGCAATGAATGGGTGAATGAATGAGTGAGTGAATGTGTCAGAGACCGACCGAATTGGCGCGTTGCATACGTACATGGGATTCCCGCGCGTGCCATTCACATATTTAATTCGTTGTTTCTTTTTCTTTTAATTTTTTTTTAAATTTTTTTAGTTGAACTTTTTGTGCATTTCGAGTGCAATTGAATGCGGCGGGAAAAACTATTGCCAGCAAAAAAAAAAATAAGTTGAATTTTACATGCTTTAATGCAAACTAAATGATGAATATATAAGTATAGTCGGGCAAGTGCACTAAAGCCTCAAATTGGTAGCAGCGTATTTATGTATACACACACACAAATATGTACACATACTCACAGAAACATACATATGTATTAATCCGCACATCAAAGCACTTGTACACATGAATGCGAATTAAAACGTGCGAATAGGTGCGGCGACGACGACGACGGCGGTGGCGGCGGCGGCGTGCAACCCTTTAGCTGCTAACGCGCATATTTATCTGCAATTTCGGCATGAATGAGAAATGCAAATTTAAATCGCCTTTTATTTTCTTATTTTTACTGCTTTTTTTGTGTGCAGAATATGGGAATTACACACTTTTTCCGCAATAAAAGTACATTTGGTGGTCTCTTTACTCGAATTTTTTACTCGATTTTTTTTGAAGTTTTTTTTTTTTGATTTTTTTTTTAAATTTTTTATTTGAAATTTTCGTTTCATTACTTTAACATTTTTTTAATGTGAGATCAATTTTTTTGGGGGGGACACCAATATTTTTTTGGGAGCGCTGCAACTTGCAAGCCAAACTGGTTTGTCACTCAGTCAGCAGAAGCGTAGCTCAAAAGTAGTTGCATTCATTTAATACATTTGGGGGAAAATGTTGTTATTATGCGAGTACTTAAAAATAATAAGTCAACTGGTGTGTGTGTGTGTGTATGTGCGTGTGTGTGTGATTGGGTGAGTAATTTGAAATGACGTTGAAATCGATTTTTTTTTATTTCTTCGTTGTTAGGTTAGGTTTTCTCCATTCTCTGCCATTAAACCGAGTATTCCGATCATTTTGCCGTAGATGCCAATTAAATTGCTGCAATTAGCACATTGTTGTTGCTGCTGCCGCATTTATCGCAAATTTAATTGCTCTCCACTGATTCAGTTGTCGTTGGGAATAGTTGGTGACATAATTTCCGTTAAAATGTCGATTTCATTTATAGTTTTTACAAATAAACTGTTTTATTGTTATCTCTGTGGATTTCATAAAAATTGTTGTTATTGAGAGTAGTATGGCATACGTGCATGTACTTTTGATTGTTAGAAAATACAGTTTTCAATTTCATTGCGTTATTTTGAATTAAAAGAATTTTTTTTAATTTGTGTAATAATTTTTTCAAAACACTACTGTGAAATAATTGTTTACAAATAAATTCTATGATTATTTAATCGCCTTGAAAAATATATAATTTATTTCTAATTATTAGTTTGTGGAATTTTTTTTTTTTTTTTTACAATTCTACAACATTTACCGAGCTTTGCAGAGATTCATTGAGATTTTTTGTTGTTTGAATTATGAATAAACAAACGATAAATTGAGTTGGAAATATTTTTTAAGGCGCGTGGTTTTCAATAAGGCAACACCTTTTCCGTATATATATTATATATACAGGGTGCGCCATCTGGATGTATCCCATTTCAACATTGAATAACTCCGCCAATTTTCAGCCAATTTTCACAAATGAACAAGATTTTTTTACGATATTCTATGTCATTTATTTCAAACCAGTTTTAGAATACAACGTCGATTAAATGACCACCCCTATTTGATACACAAAAAGCAGTTTTTTGGCGGGCATTCTGCATAACATTAGCCAGCATTTCTGGTGATTTCGCAGCTATTTCAGCTCGTATGTTAGCTTTGAGTTCGTCGATGTTC